GCAAGTCTGGATGCCTGTTCCTCCATTGCAGAAAACAATTATATACAAGGTCATGTTTCGCTTCGCAAAAGCTACCAAGAAACACAGCCCCCAAGTTGCGTTGTCCTGAGCTTCAGCCTCACCGTTGAGCGGTTCCTGCAACAAAGAAGCAATCCAATATTTAAATCAAAGGAACCAAGCCTTTGCGAGGCAAGGTCGCATGGATGGGTCCGTGTCCTTACAGAAAGTTTCTAATTCTGATCATGACAGCTAGCCTTAGCTAGCTGAAGCTGCTCTTGCTTTAGCAAGTTATATGACGGGGTGGACGCGCCTCAGAAACATCAAATAAGTTATTAAATCAATCTTATGGACCCCGCCCCCTCCGGAGGTTCAACTCCCCCCTGCGCGCGCTGAGCGGGTGGAAACAAATCAGCTGCTGCTGCTGTAGCTGCTGCTGCCTGGTGTGCTCGTTTGCTCCTGCTGCTGGGAAAAGCGGAGTCAGCACGGTATCCATTAACTAATTTGAAGTATGGCGCATGGCTGACTGTCTCGATCCGCTTGGAATACTCCCTGTACTCAACTGTCTTTTCCCCTGCGCATATCTTGTCAAACCATTTCCGCACAATGGTAAGAGTTCTAAGCCCTGGATATGCTTCTTGCGTGTGGTCCTGCAGAGTGGTGGAAACCATCAACCAGTCCATCAAACCAAGAACTGATTAGGAGTCCGCGCCTCCTTGTCTGTGTTCCACACACTTCCAGGGACCTTCCACCTCCGCAAGTCATCTGGAGGAAGAGCCAGGCCAAACGCCTATGCCAAACACAACTGGGCCAACCCCATATCAACCCAAGCTCAAAGGTGGGCGTGACAGGGCCTGGTGACAAGTGACCTATTGAAGGCCTCAGACCAACTTGTCCTGAGCCATCTGAGCAGCTTCAGCCCCATTCCTGGACTCCACCGTCAAACAAAGCACTACAGCATAGACATGGGCGGCCCTTCTGTTGCCTGTGTCTCAACAAGAAATGCAATGTGCGAAAATGAGAAAGTGTCTTGCTTTGTTTGTTTGAACTGACTTTGTAGAGAACAGAAAAGCTGTAACAAAAATAAAACAAATGACAGGTTGCGCAAGCTTGCCCCAAGCCTTCGGAGCAGCTGCGGCCCCACATGTGGCTGCCACCTTCAAAGCAAGGGCCACAACGTATAGTAAAAACAACCAGGCTTGGGGCTC